AAAGCTCGGCCCAGTCCAGCCCATTTTCACCCCTACTCACATGAGAGCCTACTGGGCTTAAAGAGTGGACAATGCACAGAGCCACCTACTTGTGCGAAGAAAGAAATTTCACTTGAAAGAAAGTGGGGGCGGCGAGGTTCGAACCCGGTACACCGAAGCTTTGATACTATGTAAAGAACCAATTCATCCCAAAAGCTTAAGCTATTGGGTGAAGCTACATTAATAGTTTTATATATCTCAACACGCCCCTCACATGAGAGCCCACTGGGCTTGAAGTGTGGACAATGCACAGGTCCACCTACATGTTCGAAGAAAGAAATTTCACTTGAAAGAAAGTGGGAGACGGTGAAGATCGAACCTGGTACGCCGAGGTTCTGATACCATGTAAAATAACAAGAGACGAGAGGAACATTAGAATAAATTTTGTATATTGAATTGATTTAGGAAAGTACAATATAAAAAAAATACTAATGAGTTTAGTTCAGACATAACCTAAATCCTAATGAAATAAGAAAATAAATTTCTACAAATAATAAAGATATTCTAAAAATATTCTCTCTAACAAAAATATTATTAACTAAGTAATTAACATTTTTATTTACACAAAAATCAAAGTTTGGCAGAGTGCAAAAAGTAAATGTTTAATTGCGGCTGCATTTGATCTGAGGAAGATAATTTATTTATCAATTGGTTTTTAAATGATTATGATTATGTATTTAATAATTTTGGAGATTTTAAAATAAATAATATTGTATGTACATATTCACAAATTAATTTACATTTACATTTTTTATTTATTTACAATTCATTTTATCTTTCTTTTTTTTCATACTTATAGTTTAAATTTATCATAATGACAGGACAGTTTGCACTCATAACGTCATGATCCACATTCTATTTGAAAACCTAATTGGACCTTTCTTCTGAATTGTCTTTATTACGTTATTGGGTTTTATAAAGGTTTGAAACTGTACAAAATACTTCCAATTATGTACTGAAACCCCCCAACCTCGGCGTTTTTTTACCATATCAATACGTATTCCACCTATTTAATTTTTTAATGAAACGTATTATCCAACCAATATAGGAAGATGCGTATTAGATGACTACGGGTATAGTTGCGTACTTAACACATGCATATATGATGTAGTTTGGCGTTTGGATTGTCAGAAATACACACGTGATGCCAGATTACATTCAGATTGTCAGAAACGTGTATTTGGTACTAAGGTGACCAAATGCGCATTTGATACTAACGTGTTTAGACACATACATATTGTGTGCGAGTATGTTGTTATTGAGGGGCATATGTGCATTTCTTACTTTTTTGATACACGAAACGCTCACCTAACAAGTGTGCAACTAAACATAAACATGTAAACACGTACATGACTTTCTACATTAATCTAATAATACATTTGACCAAACAACTAAATTGATAAATTTTCTTCAAAAACGCATTGGTACAGTTAAAAAGCCCAACCTGAGAGGTCGCTTACCATCATTAAAGTTCCTCAGGAGTCAGACCCAAAGGCCTGCAGAAAACAAAATTTAATTGTAGTACAAAAAATTAGGTTAAATTAATTAATATTCAGTACTCAATATTTTAATAAATTTTTGAATAAATTGTTATAATTTATTTTAACATATTTTTTGTAATTATGATCAGTAATAAATTATTTTAAAAAACTTAAAACATAGAAGCTTGTTAAAAAAATTTAAATTATAAATTTTTACTTAAAAACTTACTAAATAATGAGAATCTCTACAGTGATTTTACCACAAAATTATTATTTGGATTGTATATATCTCTCTCTCACATACAATATTTTGTTAATTTTTTTTAGATTGCAAACATAATTTTTTTTATAAATTTATATCTCATTTTGTCTATAATTGTCTATATAAAATTCCCAAAATATAAAAAGGTTTTATTTGATAATTCTATATATGGATGAAAACACTTAAACAGCTATAAATATTAGAAAAGAGATAAAGAAATTATTAATGCATAGAATCATAAATTTACAAGCTCCTTTGGGTATGTTATTTTGGATAAGTTTTTCTTAAAAAATATTTTGTTGATTTCATACCTTATCTAATGTTGATAATAATATACAATTGAGATCAAGTAAACTAAAAATTTCTTGAATTTTTAAAAATTGTTGTGGGAATTAATATATAACGAATCATGAAGAAATGGAAGCAATAAAATAAATAAAATAATGAAGATCGAAGATAATTTTATGTATTAAGTGGATGGTTTAATTATATTTGACCAAATTATTTTTGTTCTACTATTCAATATATTAAATTAATATTTCAAATGATTTAATTATATTGAAAATTACATGATAATTAAATTTATTAATAGAGGTTATAATATATTATTATATAACAAGAATAACTTTTTTACACCTATCAAAATCAAATTCATAGTAAAAACAACTATGAATTTAGTGTGAGCAAAATATTAACTGTATACCAATAATTATTAGTTCAACTGATAAAAAGTTTATTCCTTCAATTATATGGCTCGAGTTTGAGCCTCGTGAATAAAAAAAATATAGTATTAGAAGAATCGCAACTATATGGACCCGACTGCTCTTGAACTAGATTAATTAGATTTTTGATGAATTTGTTGGGAAATCACAAAAAAAATTGTTTATTTAATATTTTTTAAATATAATAATGACACTGGGATTTGAATATCAATTTAATGTAGACAATCCAAATTGCTCATCACTAATCCGTTATTATTATTTTTAAACATTATTCTTATTATTGAGTTGCACTTACATATATGTCTATATCACATTAAAAAAACCATTAGATATTTATAAGGTTAAATTTTTATTTATTTAAATTCCAAATATAGATATGCATTTGTAAGTTTTTTTTATAAGTATCATTATGATTTTTTTTTTTTTTTTTTACAGGCTTATATATGGATTATCAGATTAATCTAGTTTGAGTCGGTAAGATTAAAAGAGTCATAAAACTCTCTTTACTAAGTTAATTTTTAATACAACTGCTACTCAAGGATCGAACTTGAAATTACTGATTATTCACATACGTAATCGTCAGTACAAATCCCTTTAAATCTCGTATTATGTCCTAATGTTAGAATAAGATAACTTTTCTTTTCATAAATTTTATTGTACCAAAAACAATCAATTCTTTAATTTATCATTACTCTAAATTGTATTTTGATAATAACTTTGGATTGATGATCAATATGCTATCTTTTAGACGATGTATTGCAATAAATAGGTGTTATGAGCTATATATCATTTCCTTTTTCAAAATACTTCTGAAAATAATATTTGGAAATAGCTAATTATTTTTGTTTACAAGTAAAAAACCCCACAAAATAGAGTGCTTTTGAAGATAAATAAGGAAAATTAGAAAAGCAACAAAAAGACATGAATTCAATTTACTAAAAATAAGGGGAAAAAAGACATGAATTCCGGAAGTCAGCAAGAAGGCCCCACAAATGGCGCGCACCATCTACCTATTTTGAGAATTTTGGTAGAATTGCAGCCAAAACACAATTCAGAGGAAATGAGGGTATGCACAGTTGTGTTGACGGAAATACCCTTAATAGAATAGTAATAAAAGTGAAATGATACAAAAAAAAAAAAAAACAAACTGATTTTGCGTTTTGCTTCTCCCGTATTATACAAACCCTATTTTATTACTTTCCTTTGAGGCTTAAACGAAAACAAAATAATTGTGAGTGAATCATCAAGTTAGAATTGCACTATAGAATATAAATACTCTCGAAGTTGTTGAGGCTTAGATATGAGAAAGAGTACAATAAAAAGTTTTCCCAATTACCGTAGCAATAGCATACAAATAAAGTAAGATGTTTCTCTAAAATGAGAATGTCTATATCTTGTCTTGTGAATCAAATTTTGTGACTCTATGACATGTGAGACACTTGGCGAGTTCAGTATCAAAGCCTCCTGAAACTTCAAAAGACACGATGCATGTAGTATGAATACGATGATAAAGGTGAGTAAGAAAGAACTACCACTCCACCAACAACAATGGATGTACTATCACAAATATCAACCCCACAAGGCACCTCTTTCTATACCAAGATGTTGTTCAAAAAGTTTTTTCAAAAATCAAAACCGCAAGATTTGCAAAAATTAAATAAAAAATAAAAAATTCCTCATGTTAGATATCTATGAGTGGACTAAATGTTAAAGAATATGTTCAATTTACACCAAAAAAGAGAGAGAGTATGTTCAATTCTCTCGATTGGACCTATGCTCTTCAAAGCAACCAATGTTGAACAATATATAGATCCAGAAATTCCTCAAAGTCTCATTAATGGATGGAAGACAAAAGAATACTCATCCCTTCATTTTGGGGCAGTCAATTTGATTCCCCTTCTTCACAGAAGAAAAGAACATATAGTTACTGTCAGAACTGAATTCCTGGATCCCAGGTATCTCCATTACTGGAACTATCTTGACAACCCCCATTTTAGTTTCAAGCAGAGTTTTAACCATCTTCCCAAATTACAGTGTCAACCTCAGAAATATGCACTTGGAGCTGAACAAGTCCTAGAACCACTATGAGTTACTCCTTACCATCATATCATGTATCGGTTTCAAAAAAAAAAAAAAAAAAGTTAACCCTCATACTAACGTTTATTATTTATATTACATTACCTTGGTAGCAAAATCGTAATCATCTTCCTTACAGAACTGCCTGCTAATACACAATAGTTTCATATTAGAAAACACCACAGAACCATCATCATGCTTGGTTTACTAGAGTAGTCCGTGAGGGTTGACAACCAAGTAAATGGTTTGGAAGGGCATTTCCGTGAACACAACCGGTAAATTAGCCCTTTGGTGTTTTTCAAGATAAAAATACCAAATGTAAGTGCCCTTCTGACCATACTATTTGTCTTTTACTTCCACTGCTGCACGTGACCTTCTTTTTTTCTCTTCTCCAACTCCAATTCCAAGAAGCTAGGCTACCACACCACCCTCCACCTCCACTTCTTCTTTTTCTTCCTTCCCTCGATTATTAAAACCAGATCTATCTTTTATTACTTGTTTTATTCTTTTTTCTCTTCTCACTTTCATATCATTACTCAACATTGATGACTCCCCCATTCAGTTCATCTCTTCTACATCCATGTCTCCTCCACCACCAAATTCCTCCACCTTAGCCATTCTCCCCTTCACATTCTTCTTCTCTGTTCTGGTCCTGTTTTCAACATCCACATACGCTCACACATGCTCTTCCAATCCAAACACATCCACATACACCTGCCCACCATTCCCTCCCAATCCACCTTTCCCATTCTCTTCTTCACCAGGCTGTGGCCACCCTTCTTTTCAGTTAAAGTGCTCAACTCCTCACTCTGTCATCTCCATTAACAACCTCTCTTTCTCCATCCTCAGTTACAACCCAAATTCTTCCTCTATTGTCCTCTCCCCTCACAACCCCATCAACACACAACCCCACAAGAATCATTGTCCATCTTCTCACTTTCTTTCCATTCCAAATCGATCTATAAACCTTTCTGGCTCACCTTTCAGGGTCTCAGATGCTCCATGTTCTCGCCTCTCATTCCTCCAGCCATGCTCGCCACCAACTCTACCAAACTGTAGCCACTGCCCTTGGGAATGCAACCTCATCAAGAACCCCGGTGAGGTTCTCCGAGACTGTAGATCTATGCACCACTCTGCCTCAGACTCTGAACCTACCTGCCAAAGCGATGTTCTGAGCCACCTCGACGAAATCCTATCATTGGGGATCGAGGTTGATTGGGACGAAACACAAGACCCTTACTTCTCAAGCTGTAACAGTTGCCATCTCAACAAGGGATTCTGTGGCTTCAATTCATCAGACCCAGATAAGCAATTCATCTGCTTTCACTCTGAATCCACCTTCTCTCCACCTTGGATTAACAAGTTGAAGAAGCACAACAGAATAGCTGTTTTCGCCGTCGTGATTGCATTGACTTCGTTGCTGCTTCTTGTTTCAGTTACAACTGCGATTCTCCGCTCAAGGAGGTTCAAGCCACCGTCCACGGAGGAAGACCCCACCACTATTTTCCTCCACAACCACCGCTCCGCGAGCCTTCTTCCGCCGGTGTTCACCTACGAAGAGCTGGAATCTTCCACCAACCACTTCGACCTCAAGCGCAAAATCGGCGACGGAGGGTTCGGCTCGGTCTTCCTCGGCCACCTCCACGACGGGAGGCTCGTGGCGGTGAAGTACCTCCACCGTCACCACGCAACAAGCGCGAAAAAGTTTTCCACCAAGTCATTCTGCAACGAGATCCTGATCCTATCCTCCATCGGTCACCCAAACCTCGTGAAGCTTCACGGCTATTGCAGCGACCCGAGAGGGTTGCTATTGGTCTACGATTACGTCCCAAACGGAACCTTAGCAGATCACCTCCATGGCAAGAAGGTTAAAGGGTCGCTGACGTGGCAAGAGAGGCTCGAAATTGCTCTGCAAACGGCGTTGGCAATGGAGTACCTTCACTTCTCGATGGTTCCGCCGATAGTTCACAGAGACATAACCTCATCGAATATATTCGTCGAGAGAGATATGAGTATCAAAGTCGGTGACTTTGGCCTCTCGAGGCTGTTAGTGTTGCAGGACAACGCTAACACTAACAGTAACACTTCGAATGGTGGTTACGTGTGGACGGGGCCACAAGGAACACCTGGGTATTTGGACCCGGATTATTACCGGTCGTTCCGGTTAACCGAGAAGAGTGACGTGTACAGCTTCGGGGTGGTGCTGTTGGAGCTTATATCGGGGCTCAGGGCGGTGGACCAGAGGAGGGACAAGCGTGAGATGGCGCTCGCGGATATGGTCGTTTCGAGGATCCAGATGGGGCAGCTGCAGCAAGTGCTGGACCCTTTTCTCGCCCTCGAAGGCGAAGCCGTGGACGCCGTCGCATCCGTGGCGGAGCTCGCTTTCCGCTGCGTCGCCGCGGATAAGGATGACCGCCCTGATTCGAAGGAGGTGGTGTTGGAGCTGAAACGGGTTCGGAGCCGGGTCTTGTTGTCGGCGAATGGTGACGTGGCGAAGGAGTAGTGATGGGGCTCGATGCACATGTGGACTTTGACTCTCTGAGTTCACTTTTGTCGGGAGGTAACATTGGCCCCACCGAGAGAACCAAAACTAAACTATGATTTTTCTTTTTGAAGTTTTTATTGTTGCTGCCACGTTGGACTTACACGCACGAGGGTCTTATTCAATTGTTGTGTAACGCAAAGTGGAAAAATATGTCAGCGACTCCGTACCGGTACGGGTAGGGTTTTAAATTCGTATTAGGTGTTGCAGCCTATCCGAATTGAACTCAGCTGAGTTAATGAATGTGTGTGTGTGTGTGTGAATGCACCGCACCATTCATTTCTCCTAGACTTTCGTATCTATAGGTGGATGTACATGTACCTGTCCTGTAACTCATTTGCAAAGTACATTTTCCATTTTGAATTATAGGATAAGTTTTCCCTCTTTTCATTGATTTGCTCAAAATGAAATATAGATATCATGTACAAGGTTTGTTCCTTATTTTAAATTTTTTTTTTTGTGCTTTTAAACTCACCCAGTTTTAGTTTCATTATTAGACCTGTGTGTTTTGAATATGATAAGGGACTGTGTAGTCAGTTCATCATGTGTCCTAACCTACTCTTGCTTAGTGGGAGTGTTATTTTTAGTGAAGATTTTGTTCCTGTTGAAGAGTAAGGTTGGTGTAATAAAGTCAAGGTGAGAGTTATGAGGTTGATTGGCAAAGATTTTCTAAAGGGGTTGTTGTTTTTTGGAATACTTACACAAAAGTGAGCTGGAGTTTTTACATTGATCATAGTTGGCCAACAAGTCTTCTAATAATCTTTTTGACAAAGTCAAACAAAAAAATAAAAAAGACTTGCCCGTATCTTTCCCGTGATAAGCGTTTTGAAATTGGACTTTTGCGCATGGTGCACTTTCGCTTTCACTCACAAACTTCGGTTTTTTCCCCAACTTCAGAGCATGCATGGGAAAGGAGTCTGAATCAAAAGCAAATTATATGCGAATACAAATCATTCATCATGGGGGGAGCAAGGCCCCATTGAGTTACATTTATTTTATATGCTATTTCCCCACCTATAAAGGACTCGTTTTGGCACGAGTAATATGTATATTCAAGAAGAACCGGATATGATTTGATTCTGTGATTATTCCCTTAATTAAAATAAGCACTCTCCAAAGTATTGGCTTGCTCGTTTGCAATTCCAGCTTCTGGCCTGTTAGCTAGTTTATATCCCCTCTCCTAAAAATAAAATGAATCAATAACAATAGTAATCAGTAAGAAGTCAAACCTAGGCATTATTCTCTAAAACCATAAACAAAAGGGACAGGGACAAGGCAAGACGTACCAGCAGACGCCACATGTAGGGGATGCCATTTCTCTTCTTGATTCGCTTCTCAAGCACTTCAATTGCTGTGTTTGAATTTATCAAAGTTAAAGATGATCGATGAGTTTGAACATTAGAGAAAAGTTTTTAAGATTTTACCCTTCGTCGCTTCTCCGCAATTCAGCAACATGCTATACCAAACTTCATTGAATACATCAACTTGTTCATCAGATGCACCAATCATCTTCACAGCAGTGTAATTAACAATTGTAAATTCCAATATAACCAAAAGTGAAGCCACAATACATTAAAAGAGATTCGATTATTCCAACCTTACAATCATTTGCATCAAAATCTGGACCAAGTAAATCAAGTCCATGTCTTTCATTACCCCTTCCATACTCATAAAGTGCTTCTGCAAGCTAAATTAGAACAGAGAAATGTCAGGAAAGAATTTTAACTAAGAAAAAGAAAAATATACTTCATCTAAATGAGAAAAGTAAAACACGCTAATGAGAACACTCTCTACAGTTAGCCATCAAATTAACCAACCTTGGGAAGGGTTATTATAAGTAGCAACTACATTAGCAAAACTATTCATTTGTATAGATCTTTCCAACAGCTATTGATTGCAAGCAAGGAAATAATTTGTTTGAACCACCCAAATAGGGGCATGACTGACAACCTGGGCCAATGGACTATAGGCCACATACTATATATCTCATTTTTTGTAATTCTTTGCAAACAAGAATCAAACATGAAAAACCTTCAAAAACAGAACATAAACCCTAAAAGGACTTATTTGCTAAACAAATCCAACAGTTATTAATGTTATTTAAATAAATAAAAACCAAATAGAGCCACTGTAAAGAACTATTTCAACCCAAAAGCTTAAGCTATTAGGTGAGGCTACATTAATAATTTTATATTTTTCTAATATGCCCCCTCATACAAGAATCCATTGGACTTGAGGAGTGGATGATGCATCAGACTCAGCCTACTTTTGCTAAGAAACTTTATAATATTTAATTATTTTTATGAATAGAATGGGGGCGTTGGGGATCGAAATCGTGACCACATAGTCATGACAGCTCGATACCATCTAGAGCGTTAATTCAACACAAAAACTTAAACTATTGGGTGAGGCTACATTAATGGTTTTATATTTCTCTAACAGTAACAGCCACAAATTTGAGCAATATCCAACCTCTTAGTCTGACACTCTTAAATGATAAATTGTCTGTGACATAACTAGTTAAGGTTGAATGAAACAAAGCTAATTGCTCGTGTTAAAATGAGTGCAACAAAGCATGGCTGTTACATACACCCATGGAAAAAAAATATTGGGCCATGAACTAGGCACCCTAAGAGATTTTTATATAGGAAAAAGTGTTTATCCTTTTAAAGGACAGAATATTGTGTATTTTAAATGAAACAGTAATGTTAAATATTTAAATTAAATTTTTTGCCATCAATAACCTTCCACGCTCAAATTAGATGCATCAAGGATGAAAATCAAAAACTTTTGGTGAGAGATGAAGATGTAAATGCAAGATGGATGAACTACTTCAACAAGCTATTTAATGGGGATGGAGATATAAGCGAGGTGGACTTCGAAGACGCTTATGATGATTTGAATAGAAGATTTGTGCGCAGAATTAATACACATGAAGTTAAGGATGCTTTAAAGAGGATGAAGACTAATAAAGCCTTGGGACCTGATGGGGTCCCTATTGAAGTGTGGAGAGGCCTGGGGGATGTGGCAATAAAATGGTTGACCAATCTTTTCAATAAGATTCTCCAGACAAATAAGATGCCTGATGCATGGAGGAAAAGTATGATTGTGCCTATCTACAAAAACAAGGGAGATATACAGAATTGTTCAAACTATAGAGGCATTAAGCTAATGAGCCATACTATGAAGTTGTGGGAGAGGGTTATTGAGCATCGCTTGAGGAGAGATACCAAGGTTTCTGTAAATCAATTTGGATTTATGCCAGGAAGATGTACCATGGAAGCCATTTTCTTGATGCAACAACTAATGAAAAGATATCGAGAAAAGAAGAAGGACTTACATATGGTGTTCATAGACCTTGAGAAAGCATACGATAGGGTTCCAAAAAAAGTTTTATGGTGGGTCTTGGAGAAGAAAAAGGTACCATCAAAGTATGTAAAGGCAATCAAGGATATGTATCATGAGGCTGCTACATGTGTGAAAGCTTGTAACGGAACATCAAGTTATTTCCCTATCACGGTAGGTGTACACCAAGGGTCAGCTCTAAGTCCTTATCTCTTTGCCTTAGTTATGGATGAACTAACAAAAGATATTCAAGAGGAAGTGCCATGGTGTATGCTTTTTGCAGACGATATTGTGCTTATTGATGAGAGCAAGGATGGTGTTAATAGTAAACTTGAGTTGTGCAGAAGCACATTGGAATCTAAAGGATTCACATTAAGTCGAAGCAAGACTGAGTATCTGAAGTGTGAGTTTTCTCTGGTAAGAGATGTAGACCAAGATCCCGTGCATCTAAGTGATCAAGAAGTACCCAAAAAAGACGCTTTTAAATGCCTGGGCTCCATTTTGCAAAAAGGTGGAGAGATTGATGAGGATGTAAATCATAGAATCAGAGTAGGGTGGATGAAATGGCGCAGTGCATCTGGGTTTGTGTGACCGTAAAAGGAAAATTCTATAAAACAGCAGTAAGACCTGCAATGCTATATGGAGCTGAATGCTGGCCAACACATAGGCAACATGAGCATAAAATGAGAGTAGCAGAGATGAGGATGTTAAGGTGGATGTGTGGTTATACGAGGATGGATAAGATAAGAAATGAAGATATTCGACGAATACTACCGGTGGCTAAGAAGATGAGAGAACATAGATTGAGGTGGTTTGGGCACGTAATGAGAAGGCCCCTGGATGCTCCCGTAAGAACAAAAGTTTGTTACCAAGAGCTCAACACAAAAAGAGGTAGAGGTAGACCGAAACTTACTTGGGGGAAGGTAGTAAAACAAGATTTAATAGAGTGAGATATAGATTGGCGGAAGGTATGCCTTAGAACGGAATGGAGAAAAACTATAAGCATGGTGGAGGGTTAGACCTGTTGTTATTCCTATGTTCCAGATGGTCCCTTTTTAGTCCTTTTCCCCTTCGTTTCCCCTCTTCTTCTTTTCCCTTTCTTTTTTACTTTTACTTTTATATATATATATATATATATATATATATATATATTATTACTATTCTATTTATTTATTTTTATTTTTACTTTTATGTTTCTTTTTTCAACCTTTTTGTATCTTTCATTTGGATTCATTTACCACCGACCCCAATTAATTTGGGATAAAGGTGTTGTTGATGTTGAATAACCTTCCACGCTCCCCCAACAATGAACTTCTATTGTGTAACAAGTCTCTCTCACTATAAAACATAATCGTTTTATTTAAAATGACACAATGTTATGTCTTTTAAAAGGACAAATACTTTTCCCTTTTATATATTCATAGAAGTTGCAGCTGGAGCGTACCATCATCCCTCTCTGCATTATTTGTTGCTTCTTTTTAGTCATCCTTGAAATCCTACAGTAAGATAACATGATGTCATCATTCATGCCATATTGTATCTAAAATACTTTCTGCAAAATATAACACTTCCACCTGTCTTTTAAGCCCTTTAGAAGATCTTGTGCTTTAGGAATTTCTCCAGTCTTCGCCAAAGCCCAAACTGTCAATATATCAAGGTGCCACTCCAAATACCAGCTTGCCTAAACATTTAGCATTCATCCATTAATTGCACAAGAAACATTTAGCACGCATATCCCTAAACTGCACAAAGTATGAAGTTTTTCCAACATTTAGCTACATCAAAATCATCATTAAGAAACAAGTACATTTTTTATTTTTTATTCGAACTCATAATTTCCTCTTGAAAATTATAAACTTATGGGCTAAAAAATAGTTTGATATAGTTCAATTTTTTTTTTTTTTTATATTTTAGTAATTATTTTGGTAACTTCTTTGTACTTTGCATCCCATTTTCATTTTTTCTTATTTTTTTTCCGTTCTAATTGTGAACTGGCAATATCACTAGTGTAATGTCCAGTCAAGTTTTCAATACATTGGAAGAGAACACAGCTAAGTATAAACATTAAACTCTAATCAAATACCAGAGTTCAGAACTTAAATTAACATTTCCAGTTGCACATTGAAGTGCCATAGCATATTACCATTTCCTTCATTTATATAACATGTTAACTTACTTGATCAGTAAGGCATTCTGCAAGCATCTTGAGACGATCACCAAAGCTATCCAGTTCACCGTGTACACACAATCGCAAAAGCATACCCACCGCATTTAAGTAAACCTATATTCAGATGAAGTTAGAATTCATGACAAAAGGAAGAAAGTGAAAAACTATAAGTTGTGACAAAGTTTATGATATCACATACCTCAGCATTCGCAGCATCGGCTTTGTCTAACTCCTTCCATATATAATTGTCATATACCTCAAGCACTCTTTGCCTTGGAGCATTACCTTCTAAGTAACAAAGAGCTACATGCCACCAATTGTGCGTCAACCTGAAAGAATGGAAATTCCTTGGCTGGCTAACTGAAATTCTGACAAAGCCATAGCCAAATCAATCAAATGCTTACATAAATGAAGAACAAGAACTCCATGATGATGAACATTCTTCCATGAAATTAACAGCTTCTTTAAATCGGCACTCATACTGAAGAACATGGCACAACTGCAGAACAAAATTCAATTATTACACTAATTAATTAGGTCATAATTTATGAAAAGTTCTTATTACAATGTACTTCTGCCACTAATCTTTGTTCATAAATTGTAACTTCATTAGGTCTAAACTAAAGCTACTGATAATCACCCTACCAATGGTTAATTGATTAACCTTTCTCCAAAACTTCCTCTCTTTTTTTTTTTTTTACTCATAAGGGAACTTTTAAGTTATTAAGTATACAATGCAATCTAAGTAAGAAGAGCAGGTGGAGATTTATTCAAAAATCTTAATTGTAAACTAAACAACTTGAAAGATAGTATTACATAAGTACTACCATTAGGTTGAGTGAATATTACTACCATATTTAACAAATACATTTACTTACAGCATGCTGTGACCAGCTGTCTTGCTTATTGATTGCAAACCCCCTTTTGGCAGCTTCCTCAGCATCTTTCATTTGTCCAAGCTCCAACAAAGGAAAAGCAAGCATGCCATATATGTAATTTTCTCCTTCATTTTGAGGTAGAACCTGTAAAACTTAAAAGGATAAGGCATTCAAACTTTTTATCAATAATAATAATAGATACTCAAACTATCCTTCAGTTGACAAATAATATAAAGCAAGTTACATGTTGTTTGGATAGCAAGAATTAGAGAATAGGATAGGAAAAAAGTGAGTTTCTGACGAAGCATAACATAAAGTTAATTCTGTGTTTGCTACAACTTTGAAATTTGGATGATAAAAATATGTTCAATCAAAAATAAAAGCTAATATGACATGTTTAATGTTTTTCCCCTTAAAAAATGTCAAATAAATAGAGAATTTTGGGTTAAGAACTTGGTTTGATCATATATTCCCACTGCTAAGGAGAATACAAATTTAGGTGGCAAAAGACTCAAAATTCCCAATCCCATCTCAACTTCTCGAGGCAACCAAATTCATGGAAGCAAAAATTATGGAAATACATTCTAAGTAACTCTCAACTTTTCTACATTCCAATTTGGTGTGCTTAAGAATTGTTGGAATATTCAAGTGTGATAAGTCCAACATTGGTTGGTAATAGGCTAAGTGAAGTACATATAAGTGAAAGGACCCATGAATCCAATGTCTTAAGGTTTTGGGTTGGGACATGGTTTTGGACCCACTAGATATGGTGTTGTAGCCTTAGCCCATTGGTGGTGGTCCCCCCCACGGGCTCCTCTTGGACCCGCTTGACAGTGGTATTAGAGCCGAGTTGGGTTCGGGCTAGCCAGGCGTTTGGCTAGAGGTGGGTTGAGTACTTGGGCCTAGGATACTTGGTTGAGGGGGAGCATACCAATGTTGGGTTTCACACTTGAGGATGAGATTGTTGGGATATTTAAGTGTGATGAGTCTCACATTGGTTGATAATGGGCTAAGGGAAGTGCATATAAGTGGAAGGACCCATGATCCAATGCCTTAAGATTTTGTGTTGTGACGTGGTGTCAGATCCATTAGATGTGGTTGGTCTAACTTAGCTCATTGGTGGCGGTCCTCCACCACGGGCTCCTCCTGGACCCGCCTGACAAGAGTAAGTCAATTTTTTAGTTGCCCATAATACAAGTAAATACAAAAGTTCTATTATATTAACATCTTGGCAACTTCTTTAAACAATCTACAAGACACGGAAATTTTTTACTAATAAAACCATACCTTTTTATAGGTAAGAAAACAATTGTTTGCACAAACAAATTATAGCAGAAATGAAACAGAAATGTTTTCTAATTCAAAAGGAACCTGATGAACAAGAGATAAAGAAAGATCAGGCCGGCCCATGTAGAAGCACAGAATCTGTGCTCTCTTTAGAGAGACCAGATCTCTTGGGAACTCTTTTAGAAGCTTCAAAACAAAAACAAGTCACGTTAATATATATTAATCTCAAAGCATAGTACAGGCAACTAGAGTTGGAAAAAATATCTGCATTATGCAGTTAGCTCCCCAGTGTAAGGCTTTCTTAAGCAACAATAATACAAAATGTCATGTAACCATGTTCAAAATTCAGTTTCCACACAAATGAATAACAAGGCATCAATTTTGCAAAAGCCAGCATCGAATTTATTTGTCCTTAACCTATTGCCTTGCCGGATTTACTTTTGGTTTTGGTTTCTTTCCTATTCTGCAGTATACAATTCATGAAGTTGGTACCAAAATTCAGCAGTTATCATCTCTAAATTTGTATGAACTCCATAAATTATTTTTAATATTTACATCTATAGCATGAACCAATTACGACATTTGTATGAAAGAATCAAACAAGTGAACTAGTGTTGAAGGAACAAGAGAGATTCAATATGAAGGATAACATATTCAAAAGATGCATGAAAAACTTGAGATTCTACATGAACCTTTTGTTAATAGATTTTTCTCTTAAATGCATAAAAAAATAAGTTTATTGGAGCTTCGGTGAAATTTTTGGAGCCTTTATACTAGCAAACCGTTCTGGACCAGTAGGTCCCTATTGGGCCAAAGCCGAATGTCATGCACATGACCCACTATCCAATGCTCCATAGGCCGCACTCCCAATATAAACACACACTAAGGGGCACTCGAAGCATGTTAACTTCTGTGCCTACACTCCTATTCCTATTTCACTTTGAAACTAAGTTGAGCATTCAAATTTCTTTGCAGGTATTCCAACCATCTCAAACCAATAAATTGTCATTGCCAATCGATTTGAAGTTCTCCAATGTGAGCAGGAAGTCTCACACCACCCTCAGGTACAGGCCGGAACATCATCCAATAATAATGCTTATCAATATAATTATCGACACAATTGTACTATAAGAAATTCATGTATTAATCTGAAGTTGTCAGCTACTTGTAAAATAAATGAATTTTATGTTGGGTATATTAATAATATAATCCAATAGTATGTTCACATATATGCCCAATAGATGAAAGCATGGTTATTTGGGTCCATATGGGCTGGAGCCCAATAGCTTGCATTATATCTAGGGTTTCCTAAACTGTAAGTAACACTGTTGAGCATTCCAAACTTTGATGTCTCTTGGTGTAATACTTCAAGCACCTCTAAACCTTTCTCTCTCAAACTCATAACCTCCAACAATCTTGAAGTATTAGCTTCGTGTGTCGGATTTGAGCGAGTAAGGTGTCTATTCGAAGATCTCATCGAGTGGAACTCATATTTTAAATCACTTTCGCGATTCGACAGAAGGATTTACCGGGATTTGAGTTTGAAGAAACTGGAGCCGCAACTTTTCGGTCCAGATCTCGAAAATTTCGGCCATTTTCAGAAACTGAAACCTAATGGGCGTTGTTCTACTTGTCGAGACGATCGTCTTGAGTGGTCACTCGCCTTAAACGGAGGTCGGACGAAGGAGATATGGCCGTTTGAAGTTTTAGGTACACTTTTATGCGGAAAAGAATATTCCTGCGAAAAGGAATATTCCGAGGGAATATTCTGTTTGTTGGGAAATATTATGCAGGGAACATTTAAAAAATCAGAAAATGTTCCGGTGAGTTTCTGGCAACAGGGATAGTCCATCTTAAGGTTTTTGGGCGCTCCGAATCTGTTTTTGGGGTCTGTTTTGGCAAATTCCAAGTCTACAGAGCAGTTTGATGAAAGATGGAGCCTTTGCTTTAATTTGCGAAGTTTGAGAGATCTACAAGGTGCACTCTTTCTAACTCTTAGCTCTGATTAAAATGCCTAAATATAGTTCCTATGATATTATGAAATGAAATCATTTGATGTTATTGAATTTTATGGTTGGAAATTACATGTTCAATTTGGCATGGAAGAACATGAAATAAAATATTCCATAATGTATTAAATGACTTTGCATTTACCATTGAAAATTGTGGATTAATATCAATAGAACAAAGATGGATATTTTTGTAGGGGTTACTTGTTAAATTCTCTAAATATTCATCTAGCTATGACTTGTAGTGAATATAAGATGATGAAAAAGATATGAAATCACTTGAATGCTTAGTTCCAAAATAAGAAGGGCTCTCTAAAGCTCTCGTAGCAGAGAAGTTCTTTGAATTCAAATTTAATACGAATTCAGTTAATTAAACTTGAGAACATAAGGAACAAGCTAAAAGATGATAAATTTGATATGTCTGATAATCTTTTTGTCGATCTTGCATTGAGTAAATTACCTGCTGAATGGAGTTCTTTCAAGACTGAAAGAATAAAGTGAACTTGATAAATTAAAGAGGTTTATTTATATTTAGGATCAAAACTATTCTAGGAAGAGTTTGGAACAAATAGGACAATAAAGTTAATTGCCTACTTAGTTTCACGTTCCAATAAACCTCAGAAGAAGTCCAAGTCACCAAAAAGGTGAATCCTCTTCATAGTTAGAGGCCAAAAAGACTATCTTCAAAAGAAGAAGAAGGACAAGTGCCATAACTATGGAAAGTGGGATCACTAGGCAGCAGAGTGTAAGCTACCAAATAAGTTAAAGAATAACACACCACAAAATGAGGCTAATATATGTTAACTAATGAACCTGAGCCTCAAGCTTTCATTGGAATGATGAAGAATGGAAAGGCCAGTGTCTCTTTTGAGTGGTGGTTGGAGAGCGATGCTACCTGTCATACTACAAATGATAGGAATTTACTCACTAAGGTCATAGAAGTGAAAAACACAGTGGAAAATTGCAGTGGTAATGAGACAGATGTGACTCATGTTGGAACTGCAAATTTGACGTTTTCTTCAAGTAAATTACTAACTCTAAAATAAGCTAGAGTAGTACCTTTACTTAAAAGAAAATTGATATCTTTGCTTGATAAAGATGATATGTATTTCTCAACTATAAATTTGGTGTTTTCTTATAGTAAATTACTAACTCTAAAACAAGTTAGAGTAGTACTTTTGCTTAAAAGGAAATTGGTATCTTTGCTTGATAAAGCTTGTATGCCTTTCTCAATTATGAATGGTAGAGTAACTTTATTTGTTAACTCTTGTTATTTTGGTTGTGCATTCATGATTAATGGTATGTATAGAATGAGTATAGATACTGTGAGCATAAACCATATGAGTTCCACTTTGATTGATCCAAAGTTGTTACATAATAGACTTGGACATGTGAACTACAGGAAAATGCAACATCTAGCTAAAACTCTTGATACTCTTCTATTCGATTTGACAAATGTGAAGTATATGCACAAACTAAGATCACTAGAAAACCTTTTAAGTCGGTTTCTAAATGCACACAACTTTTTGATCTGATACATTCTGACCTTTGTGACTTTAGAAATTATATTACTAAAGGTGGTCAGAAGTACTTAATAACATTCATAGACAATTTTACTAGATATTGTCATGTCTATTTGTTGAAATCAAAAGATGAAGTTTTTGAAAGGTTCTAGATTTTTAAGTCAAGAGTAGAAAATCAACTCAACTTGAAAATTAAGAGGTTTAGGAGTCATAGAGGAAGAGAGTACACAATGACAGGGTTCAAGGAATTTTGCGCTTCGGAGAGCATAATACTTGAAACTACTGCTCCTTACTCACCCCAATCAAATGGTGTTGCTGAGCGCAAGAATAGGACATTAACTGAAATGTTTAACTCTATGTTACTTATAGCTGGCATGCCTTCTTCCTATTGGGGAGAAGCAGTTCTAACTGCCAATCACATCCTGAACAGGTTGCCGCACTCTAAGTTGTCTATGACTCCTTATGAGATATGGCATAAGCGCTCTTGTAGATATGATACTCTTAAGACTTGGGGATATATTGCTTATGTAAGAATACAAGATCTTAAGAGACATAAGGTGGGACCTAGAACCATTACTTGTGTATATCTAGGAAGTGCAGAAGACAGTGCTGCAAATAGATTTTTGGATCTATTTACAACTACGGTGATAGAATCCAGAGATACAGAATTCTTTGAGAATAAGTTTATCAAAGATCATGGCTTGAGTGTTTCTGGATCTACAGATATGATTTTAGAATCTCCTATAGAATCTGAAGCAAGCCCTTCTGACACTTACCCCATACAACTGGCTGTTGAATCAGTTCTAGTTGGAGTATCTACGAGAGAGAGTTCCTAAAGAATTTGGCGAGGACTTTGTCACTTACCATCTAGAGGATGATCCATTCTCCTATCAGGAAGCAATGAGATCTAGGGAATCTCTATTGTGGGCAGAAGCCATAGATGATGAAATGAGCTCTCTGCTGCATAATCATACTTGACAACTGGTCAATTTGCCGAAAGGGGCTAAGGCTATCGGTTGTAAGTTAGTAGTAGAAGAAACTGAATAGTGATGGATCGATAGCCAAATACAAAGCACATTTAGTAGCTAAAGGCTATAGACAACAAAGTGAAGTAGACTATTTTGGTGTCGACTCACCTGTGTGTTATCTATCAACTATAAGAATTCTTCTTGCTTTGACATCTATTGAACACTATGTAGTGCATGAAATGGATGTAAAGACAACTAGAGGATGACATGTTAATTCTTGGTTTTGATCATTCTGTAGTGAGTGACATGAAAGCTAATTTAGCTAAAGAATTTGACATAAAAGATCTTGGTATTGCTAATACCATTCTTGGTATGAAAGTAAGCTTTGATAGGCAAGTTATCTCCCTTAGCCAGACTCATTATATTAAGCAGCTACTTTCTACCTGGGGATACAGTGAGTGCAAACTGAGTGAGACACCATGTGATTATAATAAAAGACTAAGTTCTCATGAAGGGACCAGTGTGGATCAGTTGAAGTATTCAAGACTGATTGGTAGTCTCATATATGCTGCAAGTTGCACTAGACCTGACATAGCCTTTACAGTTGGCATGCTGAGTCATTTCACTAGTAATCCTAGTAAAGAGCATTGGGATGCCCTCGATAGGCTGGTGCAATATCTTAAAGTTACTAAAGATTATGCTCTACACTACTCTGGTTATCCTTCAATTATGGATAGATATTCTGATACGTCATGGTGTTCAGAAATCAGAAATAGTAAGTTCACCAGTGGATATGTATTCACTTTGGGTTGAGCTACTATTACTTGGAAATCCAAAAGATAGACTTGTATTGCATTGTCATCTATGGAATCAGAACTTTTTGCTTTAGCCTTAGCCGGCGAAGAGGCAAAGTGGATAAAGCATCGGATTACGGATATTCCTTTGACTCGGCTAAAGATTAATTCTTTAAGCCTATTATGTGATAATCAAGCAGTTGTCCAAGTTATTATAAAATGCTCTCTTTAATTCAAAGAGAAGACATATAAGATTGAGACATGCGTTGTTGAATTATCTGAGAAAACAAGGAGTTATCACCTTGATCGATGTGAGATCGAAGGATAACTTGGTTGATGCTCTCACAAAAGATATGCCTAAAGATCGATTATTCAAAGCAGTGGGGGAAATGGGGTTAAAGACTATATAGACAAGTCTTAATTACCATTTACTCACCTTTTAATTGTGTGTTTTGAATTATCGAATCTTTCTTTTGTTGGCCAAAAATAATAAGCATTGTTTATATGTTTCATCGATGTTCATAGTTGCTGATTAATTTGAAAAGGGTAAGTTGTCTTATTCCAAACTTGATGAAGATAACTTGAACCTGATTCAAAGGTTCTACCTGGGAAACTTGTGTCATTCCAAACTTGATGATTCAATCCAACCGGTTTGGACCATCCTTTTGGTTAAATGATCTCATTCCAAACTTGATGCTAGATTATTTGACTTTGAGGAATCAGTAATTGTGACATTCCAAATTGAAACATTGAAATAGTTGTTTGCATAAGAAGCCTATGGGTCATATTCTTAATTGAAACTTGACATCACATGATTAGGTTATTGTAAGTAACTTGACTATTGGTTCTGTTCATTGAAACTAGACAATAGTTATTCTCTTACAAATAAACTTAAGTTGATGGATCTTTGCAAAACAAACTGTTTAGGCCTTGTTCATAATTTATGAAACCGGCTCGATGATTATGAACATAATATTGCGATGCTTTATGACATTAATATATGTTCTTCTTTGCCTTATGATATGATGCTAAGTTCTTTTAGTAGAACTAGACATCTTTGGTAGATTATTCAACCAATTGAATTCATAATAATATGAAATTCATACTTGATATTCTACAGAGGATGGCAGAGATGGAGGAGAGCTTAGTGAGAGGGATCTTGACTAAGATCACCTCCTTGATGAATGAATATATCATTTAGAGTATGTTGGGACTTGACAGTTCACCCGCTGTTGCCCATTTTGATGGAGTCCATTTATTTGAGACTTACATTTTGCTATCTTTAATTTATGAACATTATTGATTGTGAACAGATTTTGAGACTTATTTTGGATGTTGGGATTTGGATGAGTTTAGATTGAATCTAAAACTCTAAATATTTACTTTGGTATGTTGGTCTCAGAACAGATTCATGATAATGATGATTTATTTATTTAGATTGAAAATGACTATTGAGTTTAATGTTTTACAGTTAAAACTCTTTGATTGATCCGAGTTAGTTATCTTGGACTGGATATGAATGATTCATATTTGTTTGAATATTACATTGATCACTCTATTGGATTGTGTTATACGGTGAACATAGGAGGAGATTGTTGGGTATATTAATAATATAATCCAATAGTATGTTCACATATAAGCCCAATAGGTGAAAGCATGGTTATTTGGGTCCATATGGGCTGGAGCCCAATAGCTTGCATTATATCTAGGGTTTCTTAAGCTGAAGGTAAGACTGTTGAGCATTCCAAACTTTGATGTCTCTTGGTGTAATACTTCAAGCACCTCTAAACCCTTCTCTCTCAAACTCATAACCTCCAACATTTTACATGAAGAGGATGACAATCACCTGATATGAGTGATTTTATATTGCATATATAAAC